ACATCGACGTGAAAGGTACACATCGAGTGGCTGCCTCCCGCACGACCCAACCAGGGCTGGGGACAAACTGCAACTGAGATACATGCCCTTAGCGGGAACTGAACCCTGGTCTCTCGGGACCACGAGCTGGCGCTCTAAACACTGAGCCAAACCGGCCAGGGTGTAAATTATTCTTTATTTCAGTTAGTGCCTCCTTCATTTCTGACTGGTCCTTTTTTATGCTCTTGAGGTCCTCACTAAGTTCACTGAGGTTCTCACTAAGTCCTTTGAGCATCCTTGTAAGCAGTGTTTTGAACTCAGCATCTGTTAGGTTGCTTATCTCCATTTTGCTTAGTTCTTTTCCTGGAGATTTGTTCTGTTCTTTTATTTGGGACCTGTTTCTGTGTCTCCTCATTTTGGCTGCCTCCCTGTGTTTGTTTCTGTGTATTACTTAACGAGAGGTATGGGGCTAGCTGAGACCAGATGCTGCTTGTTTGAAAGAATTTAGGAAAACCTGAAGCAGGATCCAATCCTATGGTTAAGCAACTGGCAACAGCTTGGGTGGGCCTGAAAGTTGGGAGGGGCGGGGCCTCAGGGAGTCACAAGGGCGGGGCAACCAGTGTGAGCCAGGTTGCTGGAGTCCCAGATATGGTGACTGTCTGCTGCTTCAGGGAAGGGCTCACCAAAAAGGAACAAAGGCCTCTGACAGCACGTCTGTCCGGAGAAAGCTGCTTCTCTGCCCTCACTCCAATGCCAAACAGCTCAGTTCTTCCCTGTATGTCTCTGGTGCCTTTCAAGCTGCCTCCCCAACGCTGGAGCCTGAAGGGTGCGAGTGCAAGTAAGACCATGCGTGGGCCCTTTAAGAGGAGCTGCCTGGGGCTCCAGCTGCCTCAGCCTCCCTGAGCCTCAGTTCCCGCTGGTTTTTCCAGCCAGAAATTATGGGGATTCTCTTCCTGGCACTGGTACCCTGAGCTGGGCGCCTGGTGTGGGACAGGGACCCCTCAGTCCTCAGGGAGGACCTTCCCAGTGGAGGTGTCCTAATTTTTATCTGCCACACGTGGGTGTGGGACCACCAGCCCGTCCGCCTCTGCCCCTCCTACCAGTCTCTGTGTGGCTTCTTTAATTCCGTAGTTGTAGGACTTCCATTCAGTTTGATTTCAGGCGGTTTTGAATGATGGTTGTTCTGTAGTTTAGTTGTAACTTTGATATGGTTGTGGGAGGACGGGATACCGCGTTTACCTACGCTGCAATCTTGACTGGAAGTCTCAGTAGCATTCATTTTAAAAGTCATTCTGCCGATAGCAAGTGAACTCTTAAAACCATTTTCCTGATGTACTTACTAAGCCTTTTCTCCTCCATCACTGTAGCCAAGGAAAAGGTGTTTTATTTAGAAAGTAAATCCAGATGGTCTCAAATCCAGATAGTTCGTCATTAAATCTGTTGATGTAACTGTACAGCCCTGAAATACACAACCATTATTGCTGAAGTGATGTCATCCTCATCTGTTGGAGTGTATATTTTTGGAATTATTTTCCCTGATAAATTACTGAATTTCATAACCCATAACTTTTTTTGGAAAAACTCAATACAGTGTTTTGAGGTGTGAATGTATTCAAAGAACTATGCTTTATGAAGAATGGTGAGTTTCCAGTTCCACTCGGGTTGCATCTTTAATTTGAGGATGAAGATACATTTAGCAGTAACACTAATAGCACTCTGTTTTGTAACTTCCTGGAATTACAGACAGAAAGTTTATTTGTTACATTTTTGTATATGGAATTTTATAGTCTTAGCTCATAATTTTGTTAGCATTTTTCAGGGAGAATGATTAAATGAAGTTAGATGCATTCTGCTGATGTGGGATTAATCCTAGGCAGATCAGTAGCTAAAATAATGATCTTTTTTTAAAAAATTGATTTTTAGGGAGAGAGAGAGATAGAAACGATGAGAAAGAACATCGATTGGCCGCCTCCTGTATGCCCCTCACTGGGGACCTGGCCCACAACCTGGGCATGTGCCCTGACCAGGAATTGAACTGGAGACTTCTTGGTGCATGTGTCGATGCTCAACCACTGAGCCTTACCGGCCAGACGAAAATAATCTTAATTCCTTGCATACATTGTGTATGTTAGTTCCATAACTCTTAGAGGAGAGAGGCCATTTTACAGAAGACCCATATGCGACTCGTAGAGAGTGACTTGTCCAAGAGCTCATAGCCAGTAAATGCAACGGCTGTAATGTTGACCAGGAATGGCCTTTTGCCCTAGCCGGGAGGCTCAGTTGGTTGGAGTGTCATCTGGTGCGCAAAAGTTTTGGGGTAGATTCCTGGTCAGGGCATATACCTAGGTTGCAGGTTTGATCCCTGGTTGGGGTGTGTACGGGAGGCAACCAGTTGATGTTTCTCTCTCACATCAATGTCTCTTTCTCTCTCTCTCTCTGCTCCCTTCCTCTCTCTAAAAATTAATAGAAAACATGTCTTCGGGTGAGGATTAAAAAAAAAAAAAGTTTCACCTGGGTCTCTCAGCATTTATAGTTTGGATACATCACCAAGCTGTGGCTAGTGAAAATGGGGGTATGACAGCACTCACAGGGAGCATGGCCTTGAAAGCTAAGCCCTAGGATTTGCTCATTTTAGTATTGGGAGCTCTTGAGTTTGTCTCTAACCTTGTCTATTGTAGTGTATTTATCATACAAGTCGTTTTGTTAATTTAACTTTTTTTTTTTTTTTTTTTATCCTCACCCGAGGACATTTTTCCATTTTTTGTTCAGGTAGAGTGGGAGGGAGAGAGAGGAAGAGAGAGAGAGAGAAACATCGATGTGAAGGGACACATCGAGTGGCTGCCACCCGCATGACCAACCAGGGCCGGGAACAAACTGCAACCGAGGTACATGCCCTTAGCGGGAACCGAACCCGGGTCTCTCTGTACCGCAGGCCGACCGACGCTCCAACCGCTGAGCCAAACCGGCCAGGGCCCAAACCGGCCAGGGTGTCACAACTTTTTTTTAATATGCAGATCAATTATAGGATTTTTCCAATGCTGTGGGTGTTTCTCTCTTGATTATAAAAGTAATATATACATTTATTATAAAAATTTTAGGGAATTGTATAGAAAATTAAAATTACTCATAATTCTACTACCTAAGGAGAACTAGTATATTCCCTACTTATTTGTAAATAGTATGTAAATACAGAGTTGATTATACTTATGTCATATCTTACTTTTTTCATTTGACATTTTCTCATGTTATTAGAAAGTGAATTCAGCCCTGGCTGGTTTTGCTCAGTGGTTGGAGCATCAGCCTGCAGACCAAAGAGACCTGGGTTTGGTTTCCGCAAGGGGCATGTACCAAAAAGAAAGTGAATTCATCATGTTAAATGATTATAAAATATTCGGCCATATGGATATACCATAATTTATTTAATCTTTCTACTCCTGCATATTTAGGTTGTTTCTGCAGACTCATAATGGAGACATTAAGTTGCTTACTTTATGCTTCATGCTGTCAGAGCATGGATGCAGCTTTCAGAGAGGACTTTTCCTTGGAAATAGTGGAGAGAGATGGCATAGGAGTGGCCAGCCCTTCCTCTGTTCCCTGTATGCTTACGATGGACACGGGTTCATTTCTATAAAAGAAAAAAGCTCCTTGCCCTGGCTGGGTGGCTTAGTTGGTTGGAGCATCATCCCGCACAGCAAGGGGTTTTGGGTTTGATTCCCAGTCAGAGCACATACTTGGGTTGTGAGGTTGGTCTCCAAGGTCAGGATGTGTGCAAGAGGTAACCGATCGCCCTGGCCGGTTTGGCTCAGCGGTTAAAGCGTCGGCCTGCGGTCCTGAGAGACCCGGGTTCGGTTCCCGCTAAGGGCATGTACCTCGGTTGCAGTTTGTCCCCGGCCCTGGTCGGTTGTGCGGGTGGCAGCCACTCGATGTGTTCCTTTCACATCGATGTTTCTCTCTCTCTCTCTGTTCCTCTCTCCCCCTCCCACTCTACCTGAACAAAAATGGAAAAATGTCCTCGGGTGAGGATAAGAAAAAAAAAAAAAAAAAAAGAGGTAACCGATCAATGTTTTGCTCTCACATCGATTGCCACCCCCCCCCCACCGATTTTTTCTCTCTCTCAAAAACCAGTAACACATATCCTCGGGTGAAAGATTAAAAATTAAATTATAAAAGCTCCTTTGTAAAAACTAACTCTATTTAGTAGACCTGAATGCATCTTATATTTCTTTAGGAATAGATCCCTGGAAATTACGTTTTTTTTGTGTCAAAGGCGCTTAATGAACTTGGCCAGATTGTCTTCCTGTAATACTGTACTAATTTCACTTCCATCAGCATCAAATGAGAGTTCAGAAATCATTGGACCTTGAGCTACATTGACCATAATCTGTTTAAACTGTGAAAACATTTTCTTGCCTTTATTAGCATTTCTTTCTTTTTTTTTTTATCCTCACCTGAGAACTTTTTTCCATTTTTTGTTTAGACAGAGTGGGAGGAAGAGAGAGAGAGAGAGAGAGAAACATCGACGTGAAAGGGACACATCGAGTGGCTGCTACCCACACGACCAACCAGGGCCGGGGACAAACTGCAACCGAGGTACATGCCCTTAGCGGGAACTGAACCCGGGTCTCTCTGGACCTCAGGCTGACGGTCTAACTGCTGAGCCAAACCCGCCAGGGCTATTAGCATTTCTTATATTCCTAGTGCGATTGGAACTTTCATTTCGTAAGTTTAATAGTAATTTCTTTTCTTCTGAGTTGTCTATTCATTTCCTTTATTCATTTTTTCTATTAAAATTAGTAATTTTAATAAAATCAGTTTGTATGAGAGTTCTTTCTATTAGGGTGTAATCTTTGGTCAAGGATTCCCTTTTTAAAGGACTAGCTGACCACTTTAGAACATAATTATCCACCTGGTTTTCTGGTGTCAGCTGGCCCAAGTGATTTTTCTTGCAAGCCCTGATTATATGCCGACTGATTCTAAGTCTAAATAATTCAGTTTTTGGATAAGTTGAGTAATGTTAATAATGTGTTTTGCCTTTTCAGTAAGAAGAAATGCTGTAAGTCTTTCACTATTGAAACTTTAAGGTCAGAGGCTGGAAGAAAAGTCAGGAAGAACATGGCCTGGCCAAGTATTTTTCAGAGAGGAACTCTGCTGTCCCGGTTCAGCCACCATCATGTGGTCGTGTTCCTGCTCACCTTCTTCAGGTGGGTGCATTGTTACAGCTGCTCTCGTGTTGTTTGTGCCTTTTTTTTTTTTATCCTCACCCGAGGACATTTTTCGATATTTTGTTCAGATAGAGAGGGAGGGAGGGAGAGAGAGAGAAACATCGATGTGAAAGGGACACATCAAGTGGTTGCCACCCACACAACCCCAACCAGGGCCAGGGACAAACTGCAACCAAGGTACGTACCCTTAGCGGGAACTGAACCCGGGTCTCTCCAGACCACAGGCCGACGCTCTAACCGCTGAGCTAAACTGGCCAGGGCTGTTTGTGCCTTTTGAGGGGGGTACTTATTGCATGGCAAGTGCTTAATGCAGCGTTTGGTAGGGGCTTATCCTAGCCACTCCTCTTGTGCGTATTTATTTATTTATTTATTTATTCTCACCCGAGGATATTTTTACATTTATCTTCAGACAGAGTGGGAGGGAAGGGGAGAGAGAGAGAGAGAAACATCGATGTGAGAGAGATACATCGATTGGTTGCCACCTGCACAACCCCAACTGGGGCCAGGGACGAACTGCAACAGAGGTACGTGTCCTTGGCTGGAATCGAACCGGGGACTCTTTGGTCCATGGGCTGACGCTCTAACCGCTGAACCAAACCGCCCAGGGCTATTTATTTTTTTAAAGTATATTTTTGTTGACTTTAGAGAGAGAGGGAGGAATAGAAACATCGATGAGATCGGCTGCCTCCTTCACATCCCCTACTGGGGGTCAAGCCCAGGCATGTGCCTTAATCGGGAATTGAACCAGTGACCTTCTGATGCATGGGCTGATGCTCAATCCACTGAGCCACACCGGTTGGGCCTCTTGTACTTTTTTTTGTTAATCCTCACCTGAGGATATTTTTCATTGATTTTTAGAGCGAGTAGGAGGGAGGGAGGGAGGGAGGAGGGGAGAGAGAGAGAGAGAGAGAGAGAAAGGAAGGAGGGAGGGAGAGAGGAAGAAAGAAAAGAAAGAAAAGAAAGAAAGACATTTGAGACACTTTGGTTGCTTCCTGCACAACCACAACTGGGGCTGGGGATCGAACCTTCAACCCAAGTTTGTGCCCTTGACTGGGAATCAAACCCAAGACCCTTTGGTCCATGGCCGATGCTGTAACCACTGAACCAAACTGGTCAGGGCCTCTTATATTTCTTGATAGCTCTAATAGAGTAGTCCTTGTGGGCTCTTTTGCCCATATTTGGCATTGTCTGCAGACATTTTTGGTTGTCATGCTGTTTGCATCTAGTGGGTAGTGGGTAGAGACCAGGGTTGCTGCTAAACGTCCTACAGTACACAAGGCAACCCTCAACAATAGAGAATTTGAGGAGCCCAAAATGTCAGTGGTGTGGTGGTTGAGAAACTGATCTAATATAAAGTCCTTTATTTGTTAAAGTCAGGAGCTTGAGAACAAAGGGTGTTCAGGGACCACCCTGTGCCTTTTTGAGCAGTAAAAATAGTATGAGACAGTCGTGAGGAACTCTGGTAACTCATGTGAGATCCCCGACCAGTCCACGTGACTAAAGAATTGTCCGTGTAGCCCAGCCAGTGTGGCTCATGGTTGAGCATTGACCCATGCACCAAGAGGTCGCCGGTTTGATTCCTAGTCAGGTACATGCCCAGGTTGTGGGCCAGATCCCCACTGGGGGACATTCAGGAGGCGGCCAGACAATGTTCTCTCTCACTGATGTTTCTATCCCTCTCTCCCTCATCCTTTCTCTCTCTCTCAAATCAATAAAGAAAAAAAAAATCATCTGTGTTTATGAGTCTGTGGCCCTAAGTGACCCTCTTTTTTTTAATCCTCACCTGAGGATATTTTTCCATTTTTTGTTCAGATAGAGTGGAAGGGAGAGAGAGGGAGAGAGAAACATCGAAGTGAAAGGGGCACATTGAGTGGTTGCCACCTGCACGACTCATCCAGGGCCGGGGACAAACTGCAACCGAGACACATCCCCTTAGGAGGAACCAAACCCGGGTCTCTGGACCGCAGGCTGACGCTCTAACTGCTGAGCCAAACTGGCCAGGGCTCAGTGGCCCTCTTTAGTGGTCTATTGATGACACAACAAACCAGGCCTTTTGGTGTTAGCAGCGTTATTCATAACCTTGTGACTCAACTATTTTGATTATGTCTTCTGAATAGATTTTCTTCTTTATTGAAGGTACCACAAATGAGGATGATTTGTTTGTTTGTTTTAAGATAGAAACTAGAAAAACAGTTCTCTAATTATGCAAGAGTTGATAGATAGTTTTGGATGCTTGGTTTAGAGAAGATCTATTTGTGTGGGGTGGGAGGAAGCAGTAGTATGAAGAAAAGCCAGGACCCAAAGAAAAAGCTACTCAATGGCTAGTGCAGTGAGCAGCCAGTGTTTGCAAAAGACTTAACATTTTTTTACAGAACTGCAGCCATAATTTAAAGTGGGTTGGGCCCTGGCCAGTTCTGCTCAGCGGTTAGAGCATCGGCCTGCAGACCAATGAGTCACAGGTTCAAAGGAACATACCTCGGTTGCTATTCGTCCCCGGCCCTGGTTGGGGTTGTGCGGGAGGCAGCCACTCGATGTGTCCCTTTCACATCGATGTTTCTCTCTCTCTTTTCTGATTCTCTCTCTCCCTCCCACTCTATCTGAACAAAAAATGGAAGAATGTCCTTGGGTGAAGATTAAAAATAAATAAATAAATAAATAAATAAATAAATAAATAAATAAAGTGGGTTGGGATCAGTTACATCTCCATCCTCTAGGTCCAGGGATAAGAGTGAACATGGGAGCTCATACTGAAGAAGACGAGTTAATTATTTTTTTTGCTTAGCAGAGACTGTTCCAGTTGATAGTCCTTATAAAGCAGTATTTCTCTCTCTTTTTAAAGAGAAAACTTCTAAAACTGAATAAAACAAATAGGAATGTATCTGTGATTTTATTGAATGCCATCTTCTTTGCTATTCATTCAGCCGTATTTCTTCTCTTTTGTAGTTATTCATTGTTGCATGCATCAAGAAAAACATTCAGCAATGTCAAAGTCAGCATATCTAAGCAGTGGACCCCAACTGCTTTTAACAGATCGATTGAACCTGAAGAGGTAAATAGAACAAAGTGCTGGGATGGATTTAAGGAGGTGACCATGCCACCTCTGAATTCTTCTTAGGGTCTTCTATTTTGTTTCATCCATTTGCTTAGCACTCTGGAATGGCTTACTGTTTCCTATGGCCTGAAGTCCAAACTCTTCTGATTTCTTAGCTTGCCCTGATTTGGTCCATTCCACCCAACCCATTCCTCACTGTTTTGAAATCACACAATTCTGGCTAGGCCATTTTTTCATTGAGTTTCACAACTACTGTGCTCATTTCTGCCTTTGTTCTTTTTAATGCTCTTTTACTTTCTTTCCACCTATCAAATTTGTGCTTTCGCCCTGGCCAGTTTGGCTCAGCAGTAGAGCATCGGCCCGCAGACCAAAGAGTCTCGGGTTCAATTCCAGTCATGGGCAAGTACCTTAGTTGCAGTTTGTCCCCAGCCCTGGTCGGGGTCATGTGGGAGGCAACCAGTCTATGTGTTCCTCTCATGTTGATGTTTCTCTCTCTCCCTTTCTCTCTTTCCCACTCTATTTGAAGGTAAATAGAAAAATATCCTCTGGTGAGGATTAAAAAAAAAGTCATTCATTTTTTTTGATACATGCCCCTAGCAGGAACCAAACCTGGGTCTTTCTGGTCCGCAGGCCGATGCTCCAGCCGCTGAGCCAAACTGACCAGGGCCATCATTCTGTTTTTTTTTTTTTAATTATGCTTTGTCAGGATAAAATGTTACTTTTTTTTTTGGTTAATCTTTACCTGAGGATAGGTTTTCATTGATTTTTATTTATTTATTTTTTTTAAATGTTTTTGATTTTTTTTTTTTAAGAGAGAAACATCAGTTGGCTGTCTCCTGCACGCCCCCTACTGGGTATCAAGCCTGCAACCTGGGCATGTGCCCTGACTAGGAATCAAACCGTGACTTCTCAATCCATGGGAGGATGCTGACTCCACTGAGCCATACCCACCGGGCTACAAGGAGGTCTTTTTTTTTTTTTAATCTTCACCCGAGGACATTTTTCGATATTTTGTTCAGATAGAGTGGGAGGGAGAGAGAGAGAGAGAAACATCGACGTGAAAGGGACACATCTAGTGGTTGCTACCCACATGACCCAACCAGGGCCGGGGACAAACTGCAACCGAGGTACGTGCCCTTTGTGGGAATCGAACCTGGGTCTCTCCAGACCGCAGGCCAACGCTCTAACTGCTGAGCCAAACTGGCCAGGGCTACAAGTAGGTCTTTTTAAGGGTAGCAGTCTCAGGCCCGCTATGCTAGCTCTTTCCTGCCTGGAACCATGTTACATTATTAGTTTCTTTTGCACTGGCATTAACTTTTCTGCTTAGACATTTATTTACTTACTCTGCTGCTAAAATAGGTTTCACTATTCTGGTGTTTTAGGACTATAGATTAAGCAATTTGGACTTTCTTTAGACTTTCAAGTCCAGATTTTGTTTTCCTGAAGCCAGCTGCTAGGAGTGCAGAGGGTGGGGCAGCACGTACCCTTATGTACCCTTCACCCCTCCTTTGCTTTGGATTTGTAGCGTCTTTACTGTAGCTTCCTTTTGAGACTCTCTTGTCCAAAGTGGAAAGGTACTTAGTGCCAGAAGTATATGTAAAATGAATCGGAGCTCTGAAAAATATTTATATTTGTTGTTAAACATTTCTTTTTTTTTTTTTTTTTCTTCTTTTTGAGAGTATGTGCCCTTAACGGGAACCAAACCCTGGTCTCTCTGGTCCGCCGGCCAATGCTCTAACCGGTAGGCCAAACTGGCCAGGGCAACATTTCTTTTTTTTTGTTAATCCTCACATGAGGATATTTTTCCATTGATTTTTTTTTTTTTTTTTTTTTTTTTTTTAGAGAGAGTAGGAGGAAGGGAGGGAGAGAGAAAAACATTGATGTGAGAGAGACACATCGATTGGTTGCTGGTTGCCTCCCAACACGGTGTCCTTGACCTGAAATCAAACCTGAGACCTTTTGGTCTGAGGGCCAACACTCTAACCACTGAGCAAAACTGGCCAGGGCAGTTGTTAAACATTTCTTCTTCTTTTCTTTAATCCTCTTCTTTGCATTTATCTTCAGATAGAGCGGGAGGAAGAGAGAGAAACATCGATGGGAGAGAGATATATCAAGTGGTTGCCACCCACATGACCCCAGCTGGGGCCAGGGACAAACTGCAATTGAGGTATATGCCCCTAGCGGGAACCGAAACTGGGACTCTCCAGTCCGCAGGCCGATGCTGTAACTGCTGAGCCAAACCGGCCAGGGCGTTAAACATTTCTTTTTTTTTTTTTTAACTTTTTTTTTTTTTATGTATATATATAAGTATGTATGAGCCCCTAGCGGGAACTGAACCCAGGTCTCTCTGGTCCACAGGCCGACGCTCCAACCGCTGAGCCAAAACGGCCAGGGCATCAGATTTCTTAAGCGTCCTCAATAGCATCCTGAAAAAGTACTTACTATAGCTTTTGTTTTTATGCATAGTTGTCTTAAGTGTTTTACAGAAAATTAAGCAGACACAGTCTCCATACCTTGAGAACTTATAATGGATCCCACTGATGTATACAAACATTGGAAATACTAGGTGAAACTAGCATGAAATCTATGTTTATAGATAATAAAGAGGTAATGGCTAACTCTAATATCAGAGGTCAACTAGACTGAAAGTTGTAAGCAAAAATTTGTTCTATTAAATTAAAAAGTCTTGTCCTGGCTGATGTGGCTCGGTTGGTTGGGTGTGGTCCTGTGCACCAAAAGATTGCTGGTTCAATTCCTGGTCAGCGTAAATACTCCGGTTTTGGGTTCGATCCCTGGTGGGGGACATGCAAGAGGCAGCTGATCACTGTTTCACTCTTGCATCTTCTGTGTTCCTCTCCCTTCCTTTTTCTCTAAAAATCAATGAGAAAGAAAATCTTAAAAAAAAAAAAATTAAAAAGTCTCCTCTCTCTAAACAGTCTAGTGCTTCTGCAAGAACAGCATAAGAGAATCTAGAGTTCTCTTCAGGAGAGGGATGCTGGGCTCAGGGTGTCCTCGTCCACAGCCACTGTCCCTCAGATTTTCTCACCTGAGACAGAGGACAAACTCCTGAACTCTGGTCCCTTGAGCTCATGCTCTGCGCACCAGGAAGCTCTTTGTGTCAGTAGTTCTCCTACCCCTGCGCACAGCCCTGACTCTGTGACGATCATTCTCACTGTGACCTTTTGAATGTGCCCACAATTTCATGCTTCCAGGAAGTGTCCCAACATGTAGCAATTGTAGTGGCTTAGTATAGCTCCTGCCCCACGGCACAAGCCCTGCATACATACAGGCCAGTACATTCACATGGTCATTGTACATACAGGCCAGCTTGAGTCACTGGAGCATTTAAAGTCCTTTTGTCCATGACTTTCATTAAACCTTGAATGAGTCACTATGTGCATTTGGGCCATTTCTCACCTGCTGGCATAGTCTCTTGATTGGCACTGTTTTGTGGACATAAACTTGCTTCTTTGGGCTTTTTTCTGTTAACCTGTTTTCTGATTCTTTTTGTTAGCCTTAGTTTGATGTTTTAGTTTTGTTTACACTTGTTAAGGAGGCTAGCGGAAGTGTATTTCAGCTGAATTCTGGCAGCAAAGCAGAAAAAAGCTGTTTGCAGTCTGTCAGTTCTTGGGAAAGCCGCACCTGCGGGAGTTTTGGCGGCTTCTCGCAAGAGTCAAAAAACCCTGAAACTTGCAGCAGCTACTTGAGGCTCTGGGTCTTTAGGTCACATGAGTGTATGCTCAACAGGGTTACTCCTGGGTCCTATTGAGCCCAGAGGCATCAGGATCAGAGATTGTGGTTAGAGGGAAAATGTGACAAAACAACTAATTGGAGACACTCAGGGCCCCCGCTGGCATGCTGAAATATTCACCGATCCAGCTGTGTGCGCTGCTTCTCATCGAGCGTGAAAGCAATACACGGGTGGTGGGTAAAGACTGGCGCCGTACGCCGCCCAGAAGTGAGTCCCAGTACTTGAGAATCTCACTTCGGTATTTTGGGATTTTACTCCCTGTTGAAGGTATATATGTTTTAATTGCTCATTGTGATTTTTTCTTTTTACTATTCTTATTTTATTTTTTCTTGATGTTAGAGAGAGGAAGGGAGAGGGAGAGAGACAGAAACATCGATGAGAGAGAACATCGATTGGCCGCCTCCTGCATGTCCCCCCACTGGGGATCGGACCCACAACCTGGGCATGTGCCCTGACCAGGAATCAAACCGGCAACGTCTTGGTACATGGGTCGATGCTCAACCACTGAGCACACCGGCCAGGCTGTTTCTGTTATTCTTAATTTCTCTCTTGCCCCGGCCAGAGTGGCTCAGTGGGTTGGAGTATCCTCCTGTACATAGAAAGGTTGTGGGTTCGATTCCTGGTCAGGGTACATGCCTAAGTTGTGGGTTTGCTCCCTGGTTGGGGGGTGTACTAGAGGCAGCCAGCCGATTGATGCTTCTCTTCCTTCACCTTTCTCTAAAGTCAGTAAACATTTTCTTGGGTGAGGATTTAAAAAGGACAAATTTCCCTTCTGAGAAATAATTTAGTCCAGGAGTTCTTGACTTTTGGTTATGTGGGTTCATATTTATAGATATTTGCAGCTTTAGAAAGGAAAAATAAGAAATTGGAAAAAAAATGCATTAGTTTTTAAGTTATTTTCAAATGAATTAACCTACCACATGTTAACATGAGTGACATTTTATGAAAAACGATTTTCAAGACAAAAAAAAAATCACTTAATGAGGATAATAGCATTGATTGACACATTTTTTTTTTTTGCAAATCTCTTCCTGTCTGGCTGAATAGAAGACAATGGGTTTTCATGTCTGCTTCTGAATTTAGTCTTTTGCAACATGATTCTTTCAAGTCTCTGAAGAGAGTTTGTCTTCCACAGATAACATGGTGGAAAGAGGGGAAGTATTTTAACAGCCTTTTCAGATAATTGTGGGTATTTGTCTTTGGTACTACACCAGAATTTGACAAGTAGCAATTTCTTAAAGGGTAGTTGCAATGTGGAATCTGAAACTGTATTAATTAACTTTTTATAACCTTACATTAACATCCATTTGTCTGTCTTGTACTTTGAATGAATCTTGAATTGGCAGGCTTGTTTCATTCTTTTTTGAGAAAATATGTACCAGATACTTAAATCCGCCGAATACTCAAATACTTACAACTGGGCATTGTGTCTGTCTGTCATTCTTTCAAGTACACATGACGTCCCAGCTTGCAGCTCCTAGTTGCACAGTGCGTCCCTAGGACAGCCATCTCGCTCTGTCTGATGTCTGTGTCCCACCTCATCACACAGAACACGGACAGACATACTACCATGAATAATTCTTACTGCTTCATCAAGAACTTTCTTAAGTGAAATTGACCTTTTTTCCCCCCTGTAAATGTGGCAATAAAGAATCCAGGGGTTAATATAGCACAGTTTGGTGTAACTGCTTGATTCATGCCAAGGCTCAGCAGTTTTACCTACCACAGCTTTTGCACCATCAATGGAAAAAGTTAAAGAGAAAAACAAAATAACTTTTTAGTCCAGTAGTCTCCCCTTATCCACAGGGGATATGTTCTTGACCCCAGTGGATACCTGAAACTCTGGATGGTACCAAAGCCTGTACAGTTTATCCTTTTCCTATACCTACATATCTCTAGTAAAGATTAATTTATAAATTTAGGCACGGTAACAGATTGACAACAATAACTAATTATAAAATAGAACAGTTATAACAGCATACTGTAATAAAAGCTATGTGAATGTGGTCTCTCTTTTTCTTTTCTTCCCTTCCTCCCACCCTCCTTGTTCACACCAGCATTCTCTCTCCCTCCTTCCTCCTTCTTTTTCTCAAAACGCTGTAATATTTTGGACCTTGGTTGATCTCAGGTAACCGAAGCTGTGGAAGGCGAAACCTTGGCTAAGAGGGGCTAATACAGCGTGCATCTAGGTTTGACTGCGTGTGTTCCTGTCTGTAAAGCGCCGCTTCGCCCTTTCCAGCTCCGCGGGTTTCTGAGAGGGGGGCGGGTGCACGGGAAGGGGCTTTGGGAAGTACAGAGAGCTGTGGGCACCAGCGGCTGACGCGCTCCTGTTGTGTCCCCGCAGCTCTGGAGCAGCAACCATCTGTTCCCCAGCGCAGAGGAGGCCACTCTTTTCCTTGGGACGCTGGACACCATTTTCCTCTTCTCCTATGCCGTGGTAAGTTTTAGAATTCCAGGGATTTTAAAGAAAGATATACAAGGGAATGACTCCAAAGTCTATAAGAGATTTTGAATTTGCTGACTGAGGAGAGTTCAGTATTGGCTGAATTTTAAACGTGGTGTCCTTCGCACCCATCCCTTCGACAGATACCGAGCACCTAGCGTGTGCCAGGTGCTTGTCCAGTCACAGAGAATTCATCAGTGGACCCACAGGGAAAACCCCTGCCTTCATAAAGCTTATGTTCTTGGAGTGGGAGCCAAGAGAGACAAACAGTAACAAACTGCTATAAATAAGTAAATTATAAAGTATGTTTAAAGGTGCTAAATGCCGTGGAGAAAAATAAAGCAGGGAAAGGGGAATAAATAGCTCAGGGTGAGGGGTGTAATTTAAGTAAGGTGGCTGGGGAAAACCTCGCAACGAAGGGACTATTTGAACAAAGCTGAAGTGGGGGAGTGAGGTCAGTGTGTCTAGACATTCAGGCTGGAGGTCTCCCTTCAGAATTCCTCGCATGTATGTGATTTTTAAAATTATGAGACTGAGTACAATCATCAAGAGAGTTGGTGAAGACTAAGCCTTGGTAGACTGAGCATTAGAGGAGCAAAGGTAAGGAATGGGCCGGGAGGCTGAGACGGAGCCGTGGGGAGCAGGGGCACCACGAGAGGGTGGCGTCCCAGGAGCCACACCAGCATGGCAGGAGCTGACTGTCGGAGGGTGTCCTCGGGTTGTAGGGAATGTCTGTGGTGGCCGCGAGTGGTAGCTGTGGGCCAGTGGTGGCAGCAGCTGGAGCTGGGCCCTGTGGGAGCTGTCTGACCTTCTCTCCCCAGCATCATTTTTCCTGTCTTCAAAATGTGTCCAGTGATAACAAAAGCCTTTTAAGCTTGAATGTCCAGGTGAAGCAAAATACTGGGTGAAAGTCCCAAAGTACTCTCTAAATGTTTATTTGGGTAATTATTGGAATATCTTTTCTTCAAAGAGGAAAGTTACAAATTGGAACAGATCTTAACCTCACGTAGCCTCACTCCCTACCCTGGGTATTTTTGGTTCAAAATCCTAATATATGGTTATTCCACATGAGGCTTCTCTTTAAGCCTTTTATTAAGTACTTGTTTTCAAAGATTTGTTATTGATTTTTAGAGAGGAGTAAGGGAGAGGGAGAGAGAACCAGGGAAAAAAACATCCATCGATCAGCTGCTCCTGCATGTCCCACGCCGGGGATTGAGGCCCCTGGATGTGTGGCCTTACCCCTCGGTGCATGGGTCAACGCCCAGCCAACTGAGCCACCCCAGCCAGGGCCTTTTATGGAGTATTTTAAGAAGCAGTGGAGTCTAGTGGAAAAACCAGTTCTATCACCATCAACTAGTTGTGTTAAACTTGGTTTCACATTGGCATTTAACTTTGTTTTTTTTTTTCTTAATCCTCACCTGAGGGTATATTTTATTGATTTTAGAGCGAGAAGAAGGAAGAGAGAGAGAGAGAGAAGCATCAATGAGAGAAAGAAATATCAGTTGGTTGCCTCCTGTACGTGCCTTGACTGGGGATTGAACCTACAGCTTAGGTATGTGCCTGGACTGGAAGTCGAACCCGAAACCGTTCAGTGTATGGGATGATGCTCCAGTCGACTGAACCACCTGGCCAGGACGAACCTTTTTTAAAAAAATATATTTAGTTTCCACATATATAGAGTTGTGATAGTACCTATCTGTAGGGTTATATAGGTTGAGGAGGTGACAGATACGTGCCATGAAAAATCGGTGGTTGTGGTTCTTTCTGTTGAGCTGCATTTTCTTCTGTGACTTCAGGTGTTGTCAGGCAGTAGGAGCCTCACAGAGTAACGATCCCCTCATCTGAAACAGTTGAGAGAGGTTCTTCACCCCTATCGTGTGTGTGGTACGACCTGTGAGTGGCAGCTGTAGAAAGTAGAATCTTCTCAAATGCTTGCAGGTGCCTCTTTTGAGGTAGTGAGAGCTTGTCTCTAGTGAGGGAGAGAGATTTATTATGACATTTATCGTCTACATTTTCTCTAATACAGATAGTCAGCTTACTAGAAACACTTGTATCAGAATTTAGGTTTTTAGTAGGGACTTTTATACATTTTACGTATTCGTGGAAGAAACCTAAAGTGTGTTGCCCTTAGCGTTTTCGTCTGCTTGCTGCCATGATCCGAGTGTTTTAATTGCTGCCACTCTGTGGGAGGAGAGCAGAAGGCAGAACGTTTGTACCTACGTTCAGCTAATTATTGTCTGTGCCTCCATACACTCCTTGCCTTGTGATGTCTGTCATGAAACCCAAGGGTCAGATTAAACAGACAGCACCTGTGCACCAGAAGCTTCTGTTCTGCAGGACATGCTGTAACACATCTTCATTCAGAATGCAAATAGCTAAGAGATCCCTTTGGGAAAGCGGATAACTGATGGTTAGGAGTTAATCTATTCTAGAAAATGAAATGTAGTTTTGTGCTTGTTTTATTGGAATAATTCGTGTTTGTTTTTGTTAGTTTTGTCCCCCGCCCCCCTCCTGCAGTCTCCCTTTAGGCGGTTAGGAGATCAAGTAGAACGTAAGTTTGCACTGAATTATGATTCTCGGTGCACAAGGTGTGCAGCAGCCCTGGTGTCGGTTCATGAAACATTTGTGAAACTGATGTAGACAGTTCGTCTGGGCACCAGGATGAGATTTAATTTTAAGTAGTGTCAGTGTATTGCTTGCCTCATTTGCTTTGCAGTGCCTCTTTTTTTCAGGCTGTGTTGTAATTCAGCGCTATAAAATGAAATGCTTTGTTTTTAGGGCCTTTTCATCAGCGGTATTGTTGGGGATCGGCTTAATTTACGAAGTGTTCTATCTTTTGGCATGTGCTCTTCTGCATTGGTGGTAAGTTTGAAAGTTAAACAAAATTACGATGATGCTTATGATTATTGCCAGGTATTTAAAAGCCAAGCAATCCCCCTCCTTCTGTATGTAGAAGAGAATAGTGCAATTAATCTGCAGTGTTTGAATCCCTTGCCTGCCTTTTCAGTTAGGGGAGCGTTTTAAAAGTATGATTCGGAGCATGCCCCTTCCTTGACTTTAGTCGCCAACAAAGTCCGCGCATAAATAGCATACTGTTCAGTGCTCTCCAGAACCTGGTCCCAGCCTGTCTTTACAGTCGCATCTGTCGCTGTGCTTCCTGGCTCTGCTTGGTCAAACTACTTTCCGTGGCCCTAACGTATCCGGCTCCTTTCTGCCTCACTGCTGTCGTTCCTGCTGTTCCTACCTCGCTTGGGTGGCCCTCTTTGCAGCTCTCCAGTCTCACTCAACATCTCCTTCAAGTGACTGGCTAAGTGGCACTTCCTTCGTAATGCCTTCCTTTGCTGACACCCCTCCTAGGAGTCACCGTTCCCTCCTCTGAGCTCCCAGGCCTGCATTTCTGAGAAGGCTGAATATTGTCATTGCCTAGCCTACTCATGCCTGTATCAGTCTTGCTTTCCCTGGAGGCTGCAGCACGGCAGTGACGGTCACAGACTTCCTGAGACGGCACTGCCTGCTTTCTGTCCCTCCCCTGCGATAACCTAGCTGCGATTTCTCTGCTTCAGCTTCCTCATTGGAATCCCTCCGCCCTGGGCTGTAGTGAGGGTTCGGTGAGTTGCTCTGTGTGAGGCATTTGGAACAGCCTGGCGCAGTGTGCGTGTGGGCATCTCCATGAGCCATCTTTATTTGCTTACAAGGGCTGGTGAGAAATTTCTGTTGATTGAATGAAGGCATGGAGCTTAGTTAGACTGTTTCATTATTGCTTTTCAATGTCTGCCATTGTGCACAGGAAAAAATATATTTTTTTCTTTGATATTTTAGAGAATGCAACCATTTGACTTATTCACAAACTGCTCACCCATACATATGTACATACTATTTCAAAACATACTTAAAACTTATTTTTGAAAAATTGAAGTATGTATATATACTCACCCTTTTTGGTGTCTAATTCTGGATTTTGAACAGCAACTATAGTTGTGTAACTGCTACCCTGCCTCCTCCTGCTGCGCTCTGGCCACCACTGACCATTTTTCTGGCTTTATAGTCTTGCTCACTTCAGGGTGCCACGTGACTGGAATCATACACTTATACACACCCATGCCAGAGATCCCCAAAAGAGGCTTTAAGCGACAAATAAAATGTCCACTCGAGCAGAATGCCTGGAAAAAAGCAGAGACATGAGTGCTACTGAATTATTGAGCCTGTCACGAGGTACTCGGATTCACTTAGTAGCGGCACCAATAGTAGTAGCCAGCGCTTCCCAGTCCCCGTGATGTGCCGCACATGGCTCTGACTTAAGTTACCCACATGGACTCAGTCCCCGTAACAGTCCTCCACAAACACAGGCCTGAGGCAGAGGAATTGGAAATACAGGTGACCCTTGAACAGCATGGGTTTGCACTGCGTGGGTCCCCTTATACGGGAGTTTTTTTCAATAGGTACTGTAAATGTATCTTCTCTTATGATTTTCTTAACAGTTTTTTCCTCTAGCTTACTTTGTTGTAGGAATACAACATATGATACATAAACATACAAAATATGTGTTTATCGACTGCTTATGTTATCGGTAAGGCTTGCTGTCAATAGCAGGCTATTAGAAGTTAAGTTTTGAGGGACTGAAAAGTTAAACATGGACTTTTGACTGCTCAGAGGTTAGCAGATCTAGCCTCTATGTTGTTCAAAGGTCAACTGTAGATATAAAAGGAGGCCAGACAATGAGAACTTAACTTTTTAGAGTTGAAGACACAAGTTGGAGGAACAATCACTGATGAGTTTTATGCTGTTTGCCATCTTTGCCTCTTGGGTGGGTGGCGTTTGGTGGTGGTCTCACTCACTCAGTGCTGCTTTGAGCAGGAGCATCCAAGAGTCGGCCACGTGTCTCATAGTCTAGATATTGGATGTCTCCTTCCTGTAGTCTCGTCACAGAAACACAAGTGTGCGTGGCAGTTGAGTGTACCCCAGGCGTCCGTATGGAAGTTACATGACCCTCTTTCTTCCCTTCTTCTCTAAGGTGTTTGTCTTTGGCACTGTCACAGAATGGCTGCATTTCTACAACAAGTGGCTGTACTGCTGCCTGTGGATTGTGAATGGCCTACTGCAGTCCACTGGGTGGCCCTGTGTGGTTGCTGTCATGGGCAACTGGTTTGGGAAAGCTGGGTATGCCACCTCCTTCTTCTTTAATTTTTCTTTTTAAGTAATTTCAGTATCGGATTATTCAGACTTGTCAATTAATTTGATCCCTTCGACACTACCCACATCCTCCCTTAATTTAGAAAGTCAGAATCGTTCAGAAACAGGCTAGGCGTCAACATGTGTCGGAAATGGTGTGACCTCAGGGATGATCCAGCCCAGTCATTCACGTCCACAACACTCTCCGGCCGTGGTCAGTGTGGCTAAGGCAGTATGTCTCAGTGTTTTCTTTAATCTTCCCTTTAGAGAACATGAATATCTCCTCCTGTGGGTTTTGCCTTCCTTTCCCTTTTTTGAGACTCAGTGATCTTTAGTTTTCTTCCATGAAAGATAAGGAAACTGAGGCCAAAAGTGGTCCGTGGGACTTGCCTAAGGTCACCTAGCAAAGGCTCTAAGAAGATGTAGATGGAGAATGTCAAACTTTGGGGGCATTTTTCTCCTAAACCTTTAAGTCATTATTAGATTGTATTTGAGTTTGTGTGTGTGGTGTGGGCCAAGGTGTGAGGATAGGCACCTGCTAAAGTCTCTTCTGGGCCACCAGGAAGAAGAGCCATACTTAATTTACAGCCTGGAAGTAAGCTGAGATTCCCAAAGACTTGGCTTTGTTGTATGTCATTATTTGTGAAACTCCAATTTCAGGAATAGTATGAATTCCTGTCATTTTTGTAGATAAATATTTATGTGTTGTGACATACACATTTATCTAATTGATGGCTCTGTCTTTTGTGTGTGCACTTCTACGTCGGGGCCAGTGTACACACACTAGAAATTATTGTCCAGCAGCGCAGTGATCCGAGCAAGCTCTGACCTATCCTCTCGGTTTCCAGCTTCCCCGGTTTCACAGTGGGGGAGTAATGATGCTTGCTGGCTAATGATCTGTAACGTTGTGAAACTTCACCTATAAAACGTCTGTGGTCAGAATAAGCCACTTAATGAGAATGCTCTGATTATATTTCAGTGTTCCAGTGGGTTCTATCTCCTTCTAACTCTAGCATCACTAGTTTAACAGAATTGATTGTAAGAGGCGCTTTTCCCCTATCATACTTTCATTTTCTTTTGGAGTGGATGATGCTGTCTGCTCATGTGCTGTTTATTCTTTTTTTTTTTTTTTTTTTAATCCTCACCCGAGGACATTTTTCCATTTTTTGTTCAGATAGAGTGGGAGGGAGAGAGAGGAACAGAGAGAGAGAAACATCGATGTGAAGGGACACATCGAGTGGTTGCCACCCGCACAACCGACCAGGGCCGGGGACAAACTGCAACCGAGGTACGTGCCCTTAGCGGGAACCGAACCCGGGTCTCTCAGGACCGCAGGCCGACGCTCTAACCGCTGAGCCAAACCAGCCAGGGCTGTTTATTCTTAATAAGATTTTTAAGGTATTTTTTTTTTCTAGTCATGATTTTTGAAAATGATTCAAAGGCTACTTGTTTATTGTACACAAACTAGATAATATAAATGAGCAAAGAGAAATAAAGGCAAAAACCACTTGAAATCCTATCACTCAAAGGTAATTACTTTGACATGTATCATTTTGAGATAATTTTGTGAGTTTTTATAAATTAGATGACACTGGGTATTTGATAGCAGTGACTGGACAGGTTGATCTCTCGCTTCCTTATTTCTGCGGATCAGTTACAGAGAAACAAAAAATTCAAGAAAGGCATTACAATTTCTTTCTTTTTTAAAAAAACATATTTTTATTGACTTTTAGAGAGAGAAAGGGAGAGGGAGAGAGATAGAAACATCAATTGGCTGCCTCCTGCATGCCCCCTATTGGGGATCGAGCCCGAAACCTGGGCGTTGCCCTGACCAGGAATTGAACCAGCAACCTCTTGGTCCATGGGACGACACTCAACCACTGAGCCACACCAGCTGGGCTCCAGTTTCTTTTTGACAGTAAGATAATTTGTTTTTAAATAAGTAACACTAGTGAGCAAAATTGATGATGCATTGCTTGAGACATAGTGACTTTTCCTGTGCTACATAACAATAAACTACAATTACCAATAAGACTGTGCTAACTTAAAATAAGTTATTTTAGCCAATTTCTTGTAAAAGCATGTCTTTGGCCAGCAAGTGTTGCTCAGAGCATGGTCTTCTGACTGTTTTCTCCAGAACTCTCTTGACAGAGCTTAAACGTTTTATTTATTTATTTAATTTTTATTAAAAAATTTTTTTTTGCTCAGCCGGTGTGGCTCAGTGGTTGAGTGTCAACCCATGCACCAAGAGATCTCCGGTTTGATTCCTGGTCAGGACACATGCCCAGGCTGTGGGCTCAATCCCCAGTAGGGGGCAGGCAGGAGGCGGCTAGTCAATGTTCTCTCTCATCAATGTTTCTATCTCTCTCTCCCTCTCTCTCTAAAATAAATAAAGAAAAAATATATATGCCCTGACTGGGAATTGGACCAGCGACCTCTTGGTGCATGGGTTAACTCTCAGCCACTGAGCCACACCAGCCGGGTACACATGTGAACTTTTAGAAAATGACCTTTTCTTACCCGCCCTTTCTGCCTATGTGGAGAGCTAACCATTTTTCTCCAAGATGTTTTAAAAGCTAATTTCCCTTCCACCTGACTCTTCCTCTACCCACCCATCTTTTAAAAATGGCTTTATTGAGATATACAATAAGTTACACATGTTTAAAATGTATTATTTGATGAGTTTTGACAGGAATATGCCCATAAAACCATCATCACAGTTAACATAATGGACAGTCCCTAATCCCCAAAAGTTTCCTCAGGCCCATGGCAGTCCCTCCCCGCACCGCTCCCCACGCCACCCCCTCCCTCCCTCCACTGCCCTCTCCAGGCAACTGCCGACCTGCTTCCTGTCACTTTAGATTAATTAAGATTTTCTGAGCTTGTATATAAATGGAATCACACAGTACGTACTCCTTCTTTTTGGTCTTTTACTCAGCAGAATTAATTTGAGATTCATTCATGTTGCATGTTGATAATCCATTCCTTCTCATAGCTGAGTGGTAATTTATTGCACACAATTTGGTTATCTGTCCACCTGTTAATGAACATTTGGGTTGTTTTCAGTTTTTGGCTATTACAAAAAAAGCTACTGTGAACATTTGTGTAGAATTCTTGTATGGACATATGCTTTCATTTTCCTTGGATAAATACCTTGAAGTAGAATGTGGATCATATAGTAGGTATGTTTATATCTTTTTGAGAAACTGGCCGTCTCTTCCACATGATTGTACCATTTTACATTATTTTATTTTATTTTTTTGGTACGTGCCCCTAGCGGGAACTGAACCAGGGACTCTCTGGTCCACAGGTCGATGCTCCAACTGCTGAGCCAAACTGGCCAGGGCGCCATTTTACATTTCTACCAGCAGAGTGTAAAGGGTTCTAGTTACTGTATATCTTTGCCAACACTTGGTACACTTGGTCTTTTAAAAAAGTTTTTTTTCTTTATTGATTTTAGGAAGAGGGGAAGGGGGAGAATGAGGGAGAGAGAGATAGAAACATTGATGAGAGAGAACATCAACTGGCTGCCTCCTGCTTGCCCTGCTGGGGATTCGGCCCACAACCTGGGCATGTGCCCTGACCAGGAATCGAACCGGCGACCTTTTGGTGCACGGGTTGATGCTCAGCCGCTGAGCCACACCGGCCGGGTGGGTCTTTTTTATTTTAGCTATTTAGTAGCCAAATAGTGATATCTCATTGTGGTTTTAATTTGTGCTTCCCTCATGTCTGATGATGTTGCATATCTTTTCATGTGCTTATTTGCATCATATTTTTATATGTGAAGTATCTATTAAAATTTTTTGCCCTTTTTTAAAAACATTTTTATTTTGAAATGGTTATAGATTCATACTCTTTAACGTTTCATTGCATTGTCTGTTTTCATATTATTGAGTTGTGAGAGTTCTTTATATTCCAGGTACAAATCTTGTCAGATAAGTGATGTGCAATATTTTCTCTTCCAATCTGTGGCTTGTCTTTTTAAATTCTCTTGATAGTTTCTTTCAGTGAGCCCCAAATTAAACTTTAGTATAGTAAAATCTTAGAGTTGGAAGAGACCTGATGTTTTGCTGTGTGGGTGTATTTAAAAAAATCTTAAAATAGAATGTTGATTCTTTGTAATGTGAACTTTCATTGTTTTGGCCATTCTGTACTTGAACTGTAGTCGCACCCCTGTTACTCTGCTGTCCCCTGCTGACCGCTGCTCTCCGTCTCAGGCGGGGCGCTGTGTTCGGCCTCTGGAGTGCCTGTGCTTCAGTGGGCAACATCCTGGGCGCGTGTCTGGCCTCCTCTGTTCTGCAGTATGGCTATGAGGTAGGTGCCACTTTCTAGCTTTTTTATAATTCCTCACCTGCGGATTGTTTCCATTTATCTTCAGATAGAATGGGGGCGAGGGGAGAGAAACATCAATATAAGAGCTACACATCGACTGGCTGCCTCCCGCACGACCCCGGCCACAGCTGGGGACCAAACTGCAACCGAGGAACGTGCCCTTGACCGGATCGAACCCGCAACTCTTTGGTCCGCAGGCCGACACTCTGTCCGCTGAGCCAAACCGGCCAGGGCCAGCTTTGCAGTTCTGTTCACAGCTGCACAGGCAGTGGTGTGGACTAAGTGAAGACAGCCAGGGTGCTGCTGTTTCCACATAGCGCTGTGTCAGAAAGCCCAGAGCGACGGGTTCCTTGACGGTCGCCACTCTCTTTGCTGTAACTGTCTGCAGCATTTAGGGAAAAGGCAGTTCCGGGGGCAGAGAGAGAGGGGGAGAGAGAGAGAGAGAGAGAGAGAGAGAGAGAGACTAACTGTGTATTGAATGATGCCATTTGTGTAAAATGGAGGAGGAAGTCAAGAGTACATAGAGTACATATTTGTATTGGCTTGTATTTCTTTTTTTGTTTTTGTTAATCCTCACCCAAGAATATTTTTCCAGTGATTTTTAGGGAGGGAGGGAGAGAGAGAAACAAACATGCATCTGAGAGAGACACATCAATTGGTTGCCTCCCAAATGACCCCAACTGGGGCTGGGAATTGACCCTGCATCCCAGGTACATGCCCTTGACTGGAAACCTGGCCCTCGACCCCTCAGTCCGTGGGCCAGCGCTCTAACCGCTGAGCCAAACTGGCCAGGGCACGGCTAGTATTTCTAAAGCAATCTCTGGAAAGGAGGAGTTCAGTAACGACAATGCTTATATGATGGGAAAATGAGGATTGAGTGGACGGGAGAAGGGGTGTGGGGGAGCGTTTTTACTATACATCTACTTTTTGTTGCTTGAATCATGTACATGTGTTGTCTATTCAGAAGCCTAACTAATTAAAAGTAGGTAAGTTGCTCTTTTATTTATTTTTAATATTTTTGATGTAAGTTGCTCTTTTAAAAAGAAGATAGTTTCAAACAGCTGTCTGAAGAATTTTGCTCTATTTCGGGTCAATGGGAAGTCCTTCCAGTGTTCAGTCACCTTCATTCTAGGCCTTTTGGCTTCACACCTGGATTGTACTAATTGGTTCAGGTGGGAATTTCGGTTCACCCTATGGGATGCTCCCACATTTGGCCTCTGAAAACACTTAATTTTGTCACTGACTTGTTAAAAAGTGTAGGCTGTCTATCCACATGAGGCTCCATAGTCTATTAAATAGCATTCAGCTGCTCAGCCTGGCTTTTGAACGTCTTTAATCTTGGTATCACCTTCCAAACCAGGTTTCTGTTCCCGGGGACCTCCCCGCAGAAGCCCCCTGCCTTGGTCGGGAGATGGCTCTCTACCTCACTCCCACCCTGTGCCTTTGCTTCGCTTGTGCCCGGAAACAGGGTCCATTGCTTTGATCTTCAGTTCTCCGTAAAGCATTGTGTAGCTACTTCAGCCTCTTTAGCTGTTTCTTCTAAATTCCTGTTGTACATGTTTCTTATTAGGACTGGGCCTCCTCATTTATTCAGCTACATGCTGCCTTAGATTATTGTTTTGTTTATTGTTTAATTCCCTCTGCTGGGTGGAATATCTTCTCTGGCAGATACTGTTCCTATGGGAGGCTGTGTGGTGCAAAGAATGAGATTTTTGGAGCTAGTCCTGATTTCACAATCGTAATAGTACCACTCAGTGTTCAGGGGACCTTCATTATCCACTGGGCCTCGTGGAGTCCTTGGGAAAAGCAAAGAGAAAACACGAGTAAACACAGCTCCGCTGGCACAGGCCGAGCTCTCAGCACTTGCTCTTCCCCGTGTCCCCGGTCTTCCGGCCCGTCCTCACCCCACCTCCCGCGCGTGCCTCGTGAGTGTTCCCGCTGTGTAAGGAGCACCTACCCTCTCTCCTCCAGTATGCCTTTCTGGTGACAGCGGCTGTGCAGTTTGCTGGTGGGATTGTCATCTTCTTTGGACTCCTGGTGTCACCTGAAGAAATTGGTGAGGACAAGCTGTTGCTTCTGTTCAGAACGTTCTACTCTTATGGGTGAAGGGAAATCCGAGGCCAGAACAGCCAGTGTCTTTCTTCCTAGGAGAATTGTGACCTCCTTTCGGTGGATTAAAGGAGCAGGATTGCTGTTGTGTCCTGCGCCCAGCGAAGCCTGGCACAGCTGCACGTGTTTGAGGGGAGTGAGGCTCACCTGTCACAGGGACAGGAAAACTCATTATTTGCAAATGAGTTTTATAATTGAGACACTGGTTACAAATTAGCATGGATGTGTTTCTAATTTTACTTCTTGAGACAGATTTCTTTTCCTTCATAAAAATAATTTAGTATGATACTTATCTCTGGTTAAATAGAGAATTCATACTAATGAAACCATAGAAGCAAATAGATGTACAATTCTATCTTGAATATTATTAAAGAGGTACATCCATTTAATAGTATGTAATTAACTTCTTTTTGTATATGAGAGAATTAGAGTGATTTCTTTGAGAACATACTGCTTTGAAGCCACATAAATTAGAGCCCTAGGTTTGTTGCTATGTGACTCTAATTGATCTTAGTTGACCTTGGCCTCTGAACCTTGTTGCTTCTTCTATAAAATGGAAATAAAATAATATCAACCCCATACATGCAAAGCGCTTAACACGCCAGGCACCTAGCAGACACTCTGTAAATGATGCTGATGTGATTTTAGGTCTCCCAGGTGTTGAGGCAGAAGACCATTTTGAAGAAGACTCGCACAGGCCGTTAATTAATGGTGCTGAAAATGAAGATGACTATGAGCCTAACTATTCAGTCCAAGAAGGCAGTACTGTCGCCCAAGTGAAGGCAATCAGCCTCTATCAGGCTTGTTGCCTTCCTGGAGTTACACTGGTAAGGGTTGTTCACATCTCCTCGCTGCAGCCAGGGAGCTGTTACGGCCTGGAGGTCACCTCTGCCTGGGACGAAGCATCTTTAAGTGTTTAGCTTCTCGCAGATACTTTAGTTTAGAAATATATGTTGAGAGGAATATTGGATAGTACCCCTCAGCTTAGTTTTATATTGGCACCACTGGAAATCTCTCCTGATATTGAATGCAGAGGTTGGCAAACCTTTTCTGTGAAGAGCCAGATAGTATTGAATGTTTTTAGCTTTGGGGGCCCGCATGCCTCTGCTACAGCGACTTAACTCTAGAGAGCAAATGAAATGTGGACCACGTGAAATAAAAGGACGTGCCAGATTTGGCCCTGAGCCCTAGTGTGCTGACCCTGACCTAGCATTTAAGTAGCAAGTTGGTATTTTTAAATATATACTTTATGGCTTCTTGCCGTATTATAAAATTTTATGTCAGCCAGGAGGGGTTTTGAATGGGCTGCTAAATCTGCCCTATTTGCCGATATTCTTATTTTAGGAAGAAACAGTTGTTTGCCCTTCTATGAAAAGGTCTAGAGCAAAATACTCCACAGTGTTTCTTGGTAATGCATTCCAGTGTTTCCACAACCTTTACAGTCAGGAGAACTTTCTAATGTCTAAACTAAATCCCTTCTGCTGCAGTTTTTCTGTCTTGGTGTTTCGGGCGCTCTAGCACGGGAGTGGAAGTTAAGAGGCCTAGGTTATGTTTCCAGCTTACCCACTAACTCTCTGTGGGGCCTGGGGTAAGTCACAGCCCATCCTTGTGTCTCAGTTCTCCTTCCTGTGACTGAAAGCACACTAGTCTGCCCTGGGCTCTAGAATGCTGAGCTATTGTATCGTGAACATGCACCTGCTTTTATTTTACTGTTTAGTGGTGCTTTCTGAATGTAGCCTCTGAGCTAGAGTCAGAGTCTGCAGGCTGTCATATTCCATGCTTATCAGTTCCCTTCTGTCTGTGCCCCCAAGCTAACTAAGAGAACTGACATTTACAGATACTTAAATATGAGTTAAAATATAAGTTCTCGAGATTCTTTAAAAGATGATGTATAATGTAAGGGAAATGCAAGATTCTTTAGGCCTGTTCTTATGCTAAAGATTTATATTTTTTAACTAGTTATTAAAATATTCTGCTGGTAATAGGTTAATTTCTGAGACAGAACTTAAATTTGTCCTGACTAAATATGGAATCTTTTGCTCTTCCTTTGTATTTGCCAAGCTGTTGTTCCCCAACATGAGTAGGATGTAAGGGAAATCTAGTTAACTGAATTCCTTTGTCTCTGTGGCAGGCTGTCTGGACAGAATGCACTCCTGCCTGGGACTTGGCTCTCTAGGGGGTGGCTGTGGCCGGCCAGGGAAGCTGTTTTAAAACAAGTGATACCTAGGGAATAACTGGCAGCTCTAGGGAAAAGAATATACTAGCCAGACACCCTTTGAAGTCAGTCTCTCTGTTCCTTCCCCTTTTTCCTTTGATGCTAAATGCCAGGATTTCCTGGTAATAACGTGTTGGATGCCGGGGCCTAGCGCCACTGCCATCTTAAAGCAGCCGCACCTCTTAGTCCTCAAGTAGCGCCACAAGGCCCAGGACAGCCGTGGGCTTTTCTTTTTGACTCTCCAGAGATAACGTGCCGCTTTCCCACTGGATGTGGGAGTGTAAAGCTTTTGGAAACTAGAATGTGAAAGTAGTTGTATTGTTGATGCTTTTCTTAGACCTTGAAACTATAACCTAGTCATATTATTCTCCACCGTTCATAGTATTAATTTTGCAGGAAATCTTAGAAGAACTAAAATAGTTTGGCTGCTTGCAATAAAAGCTCTGATGTTTATTGGATTTATTTGCTTATGGTTAGTGCTAGTTAGTGGAATGAATTCCTTTAATCTTTGTTTAAATAAAGAAATATGAGTTTGTGCCCTGCTTTACAGGTTCAAAACACTGGTTTGCTTCTACCAGAGAACTGGAAGGAGAAGAAACTGGAGAGAGTTAGGAGGTGGTCATCTGTGTTTTCTATTCCAGAGGCCTGCTGTACATGCTTTTCTAGAAGCTTATGGGGATAAAGAGAAGAGGGAGACTAGGTGAAGTCAGGCCAATGGGAATTTGTAGAAGTATTTAATTTTATGGTCAGGTTAATCGTCCCAAACTCCCCTATTTTGTTTTGCTTTTTAGTTACATGAGACATCATGGTCCCGCTGTGCTGTTTGTTCTTACTGATAATTGAATGTTTTCCTTCTAGTACTCACTGGCCTATGCCTGCTTGAAATTAGTGAATTACTCCTTCTTTTTCTGGTTGCCCTTTTACTTGAGTAACAACTTTGGATGGAAGGAGGCTGAAGCTGACAAGCTGTCCATTTGGTACGATGTTGGAGGAATTATAGGTAATACCCACGATGCATCTTTTTCTATACTAGTCACTGTTACTTACCCTTTTACTGGGTTATGAAATCTGACATCATGTAAAGTTTTATTACTTATTCCACAGCCATTTTTCTTAAACTAGCCTACCAGCACACAGCCACACTCTGTAGAAAAGTCCACAGGACAGACCCAGCCTGCGGCAGTGCTCTAGTTTGCGGGCTTCTTATTCTCAGTCCTTTGTTGGTGGGTCTGTTCTTTTGTTTTCGGATGTTTCCCTCTGTGACCTCTTTTTTTTTTTTTTAATCCTCATCCGAGGACATTTTTTCATTTATCTTCAGATAGAGTGAGAAGAAGGGAGAGAGAGAGAGAAACATTGATGTGAGACAGACACATCGACTGGCTGCCTCCCGCACAACCCTGACCAGGGCCGAGGACGGACTGCAACCGAGGTACGTGCCCTTGACCGGAATTGAACCCGCAACTCTTTGGTTCGTGGGCTGATGCTCTAACCGCTGAGCCAAACCGGCCAGGGCCCTCTCTGACCTCTTTTAATGTAACCCTTGCATACACTTTAGTATAAGTTAGGGCTTAACTGTGCACATTAGCTTAGTGTATGGATTGTCAGGCGATAGAGGTGGGAACAATAGAGATTGATTTTTGTGAATATTTTGTAATTGCTTTGTTCACAGCGGGTTTTAGTAGTGACTTTTTGTTATAGCTGGAAGTATTAACAGGGAAGTAAGAAACTTTAAATAAGACAGGCGTACAGAGTGAATTTTAGTGAGTATGACTTAAATGGCTGATGAAGCCTTTACATCCTCTGTCAAGCTCACAGTTAGAAGTGTGGTGAGACGGAACTGCCCTGAGCATGCGAGCACCTGGCGCACTTAGGCGACATGCCGCTACTGCACTGCGCTTGTTTGCCCTTGTTCTTAGACCCGGAGCCAAAGGCGGGGTTGCTGCCTTTAGACCTCACCGTGCTCTGTGTCCTGCTGTCTGATGAAGATGTACCAGATGTCCCCTGGCCCCCAGAACTTAGCGTGGGACTGTATCTAAATGTGACTGTCTTGCTTTTTAAGCATGAGGACCTGTTAGTTATTATTAAGCCATAAATGCTGCATTTAATTTCAGTGAATATTGGTTGTTACTAATAGCCTATAAGGTATGGTCCTTAATCATCGTTTAAATAAAAAAGCAGAAAGATCTGGAAACGCCTTCACAGCTGGTTTGAGAAGAGAAAACAAGGGATGGGGTGGTTTTGGTGATTTTCCCCTTTTTCCTTACTTTGGTGTCTGGTTTGTGGTGTCCTGTCCCTATCAGTCATCGTGACATTAACAGTCAGGTAGTATTCCTAAAAAGAAATAACGAAGGAAACTTTTAGGGGAGTCAGCCATTTTTCTGCGTAGACCAGTGTTAGGATCCGAATAGCAGGTGGAGGGTACTGATGAGCAAGATTCAGGTAACCGAGCTAAATCATAAGTGATTGTAATTGTGCTGTGCTCTTTGTGCCCAAAGGCGGAACTCTGCAAGGCTTCATCTCTGATGTGTTACAGAAGAGAGCACCAGTTTTAGCTCTGAGCCTGCTTCTGGCAATTGGGTCCCTGGTTGGCTACAGTCGTGAGTATTCCTTTGCAATTAAATTATGATCACTTAGGACTAAGGCATTTTCCTTGAGTCAGTGATCAACCCTGGGGAAATCCTGGCTACCAGCTACAAAGGCATGATATGGGACCTTTGTATTGACCTGTGAATACCTGGTGAAAGTATCATCACATAGTTTTATTTGTGCTGGGGAGGAAACTGGCATCTCTTCTGCTTTGTTGGTTTGTTTAAAAGCTCGCTTGGGAGTGTATATGCTTTGAGGGTAGGCTCCAGAGGGACAGCATTAGAGACAATAAAACAATAAAAGGGAAAGGGTTTCAAAAGAGGAAAGATGGTAATTGGTAGGCTTGGTATATGTTCCTTAAGATGCTGTGAGATTGGAGTAGGGTTTTTCTGTAGCTTTCAGAAGTCTTGTTAGCTTGAGCACCAGCAAGAGGCAGACATTACAAATAAAAGTTGGAAGAGGCCGTGAAAACGTTGTGTCCCTTTGTTGTGTCTGGGTGAGATCTGCGAGGTCACAGAGCCCAGGCTTTGGGGACCGCCCAGTGGAGGCACACGTGACACGCTTGTCAAGTCAGCGCGCTGTTTCTGCCTTTCTCACAGGTTCCCCGGACAACAAGTCCGTGAATGCTCTTCTGATGGCTGTGACAGGTATGGCATCTGGCCCCATTGCACCGATCCGTTTTCTCTGTCAGTAGCAGGGAAAAGGAAACTATTTCCCTCAGTTTGAGTTACACTAAAACCTTAATTACCGCGAATTCAAATGGTAAAAGGAAAGACACTTCCTCCAGAGTCTGTTACTCTGCTGCCACGTGATCTCGGTCCTGTTACAGAATCAGTCCTCTGGACAGGGGTGTCCTAACAGCCCGATCGCTGCCCCAGCTTCTCACATCGCTGCTGGAAGTGGCTTAGGGAGCCGCCACATTGGAACCAGTTCCCCAGCCTTCGAAATGTCCAGTATAGCTAGTTTTTCCTCCTGTGTCAGGACTGGTCAGTATCGCTTCACTTCAGTCCCAGCTAAGTGCTGTTAGGGATCATGTTACAGGAAAGTTCCTTGTTTGTAATACTCACACTCATACTCAGCAGCGAGAGCTGCTCACGCTATCACAGGCTCTGATTCCAGCCGTGTTAACGGATTCATGTGGGCCGCTCCTGCTCGGTCCTCGGACAGCTGCCCCCAGAGCAGTCAGACAGAGCCACCTGCACCATCGAAGGAGCCCCCCCGTCCCGTTGTGTTTGGCTGGATTTGGTAGTTGTGCTCTGTGACAGATGTGACAAGCTAGTGCAGTTCGTAATTGATGAAGGCACACTTCACAGGAGGTAAAAGGCTGTGTGTTCACTATATTTTTTATATCTTTGGTTTCTATAAAATATACTAGCATGTTATGTAATTCAGAAATGTGGATGGAAACTAGTTTGAAGATGATACTACCTGGGAGAGTTTCCATTTTTACTGGTCATTTCCCTCCTTTCTTCTGTTTCTTTCCAACATACTGATTATTATTGTGGAATAAGAATTTGCCTTATTCACTAGATTCCAAGTGGAATTATGAATAATGTTTTAATAAGAACCTGTTCTGTTTGTGACTTCAGGATTTTTTATTGGTGGACCTTCTAATATGATTAGTTCTGCTATTTCTGCTGACTTGGGTCGCCAGGAGCTCATCCAAGGGAGCAGTGAGGCTTTGGCGACCGTCACAGGAATAGTCGATGGCACCGGGAGCATTGGAGCTGCAGTGGGCCAGGTGAGTGAGCAGCGGAGGGGCTGAAGTGGAGTGTCAGTGCTCCTTCAGCTGGTGGAGAATTGACCCTGCCCACGGGGCCATAGCAGGTGGCACTCTTGTGCTGTAGTGTGCTGTGCCGGGAGCCCGGGGTTCAGTCCCGTCTGAGGTCCCACTGTGCCGGGAGCCCGGGGTTCAGTCCTGTCTGAGGTCCCGCTGTGCTGAGAGCCCGGGGTTCAGTCCCGTCTGAGGTCCCGCTGTACCGGGAGCCCGGGGTTCAGTCCCGTCTGAGGTCCCGCTGTGTCAGAGCCCGGGGTTCAGTCCCGTCTGAGGTCCCGCTGTGCCGGGAGCCCGGGGTTCAGTCCCGTCTGAGGTCCTGCTGTGCCGGGAGCCCGGGGTTCAGTCCCGTCTGAGGTCCCGCTGTGCCGGAAGCCCGGGGTTCGGTCCCGTCTGAGGTCCCGCTGTGCCGGGAGCCCCGGGTTCGGTCCCGTCTGAGGTCCCGCTGTGCCAGAGCCCGGGGTTCAGTCCCGTCTGAGTCCCGCTGTGCCGAGAGCCCGGGGTTCAGTCCCGTCTGAGGTCCCGCTGTGCCGGGAGCCCGGGGTTCAGTCCCGTCTGAGGTCCCGCTGTGCCGGAAGCCCGGGGTTCGGTCCCGTCTGAGGTCCCGCTGTGCCGAGAGCCCCGGGTTCGGTCCCGTCTGAGGTCCCGCTGTGCCAGAGCCCGGGGTTCAGTCCCGTCTGAGGTCCCGCTGTGCCGAGAGCCCGGGGTTCAGTCCCGTCTGAGGTCCCGCTGTGCCGGGAGCCCGGGGTTCAGTCCCGTCTGAGGTCCCGCTGTGCCGGGAGCCCGGGGTTCAGTCCCGTCTGAGGTCCCGCTGTGCCGGGAACCCGGGATTCAGTCCTGTCTGAGGTCCCGCTGTGCCGGGAACCCGGGATTCAGTCCTGTCTGAGGTCCCGCTGTGCCGGGAACCCGGGATTCAGTCCTGTCTGAGGTCCCGCTGTGCCGGGAACCCGGGGTTCAGTCCTGTCTGAGGTCCCGCTGTGCCGGGAACCCGGGGTTCAGTCCTGTCTGAGGTCCGGCTGTGCCGAGAGCCCGGAGGTTCAGTCCTCTCTGAGGTCCTGCTGTACTGGGAACCTGGGGGTTTAGTTCTCTCTATGGGCCATCAGATATGATCTCATATGGAAGGTGCCTCTACATTTTTAGTTCTTTTTTCCCACTTTTACTTCCAGCTTCTTTCTGTCTGGAAATAAGCTCACATGTCATCAGATAGACCCTTCAGTCCCAACCTGCCTCCCCTGCTTTCCAGCCTGAACTTGGCACCACAAGGAGACCACGAGACCCGAAATATGTGCTTCTCGTTGTCCCTCACCTGACGTGCAAACCCTACCAAGCTCTCACGTATACACGCTCATCCCATGGGTTCCCGCCGGAAGTGGCCAGGGACTCTGGAGCTGCTCTGAGTCACTTTCTTGGCCTCCTACAACTGTGTCTCAAGGGGTAGCTGATAAATGTCTTACATCAGAATCATCTGGGGTAGTCATCAAAAGTACAGAACACTAAGCCTACCACAGACTTGCTGAGCTAGAGCCTGGGGATCTGTATTTCAACAAGCCTTCCTGGTGATTCTTTTGTACTCTAAAGTTTGAGATCTCCTAGGCTGAGAGTGGCCTACTGTACGGAGTTAGAACTATTCAGATCGATCTTTTTTGCTTAAATGCAGCCTTATCTCATGAGTCATGCTGGAACAGTCATGAGTCCTGCCTCTCCAAGGTATACCACTGCAGGTCATTCAGTGCTAATTTTTCAGAAATAAGGATTTGAGAATCATCTGCATGGATAAAATAGTTGGAACTATGAAAGTGATGAGACGTTAAATAGAGAAGGAGAATATAGGCAGAACTTCAGGGATGCCCAGTGGTCAAAGAAATAGGAAGCCAGAATTTGTGGAGGTGTTAGACGGTAAGGTCACAGATACAGAGAGGGCAGGAGAAGGAGATTGGAAGGAAAAAGGTTGGTAGGTTTTACATTTAGGTTATTGCTGTTTTGCTTGCTTGGTGAGGATAGATCACTGATATCCAGTTGTTAATGAGAGGGCAAGTATAAGGAAAGTAAACTGTCTTAATACTAATCACTGTCCAGCCAGGTATTATGTGTTTATTTGTTAATGTCTGTCTCTCCCACTACAATGTAAGCTTCAGGAGGGCAGCCTTTGGTTTGGTTTGTGTTCTGCTGTAGCCCCAGGACCAAGCACGGTGCCTGGCACACAGTAGACATTCCATATTTGTTGAATGGTTGTAGAACGAATGATTGACGTGATTGATGTGCTTAGCATATTTGATTATGAGACTAAAGGGAGAAAAACTTAGTGGTAGGAGAAATTGCTTACTTAATCATGTTCTGAGGTAGGAACCAAAGAATGCTTCTGGCCACCAGTTGAGATGTCTTATAAGCAGTAAGAGGTGACTATTGGCCATCCTTTTCTGAAAGTACTGTAGTTTGTTATTCTTCCTCACTGGTATTTTCTTTATTAATCAAATGGGTGGATTACAATGATTGCAGAGAGTTTACCTTTATTTAAAATGTCTCACCTACCAGTCTTCAGATTTCTAACTGTGAACTTGGGTGAGCATTAGACTGACTGGTGGTTTGGGCAGCAAGATCAGGAGTAAATCATTGTTAGCTTTCCTCATTCCCCTTTCGTGTTGATTTTTGAAAGATTTCCCATTGCCTTGGTTATGAAACCTTAAACTTCATGATTTAATGTTGAAAACTACCAATCTTCTCTCTAGCTCCTGTCCTAACTCACCTTAAGTAATGTTGTTCTCCCTACACCTTTCTTTGACTTCCCAAGATTACCTACCTCTAATAGAATACTTGTCACAGTGTATTACCCGTGTTGGTTTATTTATCTGTACCAGAGTCTGCATTCCTTGAGGACAGAAACTGTTTCATCTTCATGTTCCCAGCACTTAGTATGTTTTTGACAAGTAGCAGGGGCTCGGTGAGATGAGATTGCATTATCTGCCCAAGAGAAATGAGAATGAGTGTCCACATAAACAAACCCCTGTACACAGTTGTTCATAACTGGACTATTTATAACAGCTAAAAAGTAGAAACAATTCGAGTGTCCATCAACTGATGCATGGATAAATAAAATGTGGTATATTCATATAAAGGAGTATTGTTTGGCAATTATAGAGAAATGAAGGACTTATAGATTCTATAACACGGATGAACCTAAAAAATATAATATGCGAAAGAAGCCAGTCCCACAAGACCACACACTGTATGTGATTTTATTCATGGGAGGAATCCAGAATAGGCAAATGCATAAGGGAAGAGACTTGCGGTTGCCTAAGGCTGGATGAGTCTGGGGAGTGACCACTGATGGGTACAAGGTTTCTTTTGGGGGTGATGAGAAATGATTTAAACTTAGGTTACAGCGATAGTTGCACAACTCTAAGTATACTAAAAACATTGGGTTTTCTATGTTAAGTGGGTGAGCTTTGTGCTATGTAAATTATATATCAACGAAGTTATTTAAAAGAAAGGTAAAATACTGCCCTGGTCGGTTTGGCTCAGCGGTTAGAGCGTTGGCCTGTGGTCTGGAGAGACCCAGGTTCGGTTCCTGCTAAGGGCATGTACCTCGGTTGCAGTTTGTCCCCGGCCCTGGTTGGGTTGTGTGGGTGGCAACCACTCGATGTGTCCCTTTCACGTTGATGTTTCTCTTTCTCTCTCTCCCACTCTATCTGAACAAAATATCAAAAAATGTCCTCGGGTTAGGATACAAAAAAAAAAAGGTAAAATAGCAGTCAGAGAGTTTGGACGGCTACTGTGCTTCCTTTCATGGGTGACTAGACCTCTGCTTTGTTGCTTTTTATGATGTCATCTTGGCTAAATCACTAAGTTGTTCTGCTTTAATTTCTTCCACTTATAAAGCTCATGAGTAACATGATCAAAGACTATAGGTTAAGCTCTCACATCAATGGCCAGTTGTTTTTTGACAAGGGTGCCAAGACCATTCAGTGGGGGAAGAATGGTTTCTTCGCCAAATGGTGCTGGGGTAACTGGATATGCACATGCAAAGGAATTCATTTGAACCCTTACCTTTTACCATACATAAAAGTAACTCAAAAATGGACAAATACCCGACTTTAAGAGCTAAAACTAGAAAATTTTTAGAAGAAAACAGGGACAAATTGTCATGAGAAATATATGCAAATGTCCTATAAGCACATGAAAAGACTCTCAGCATCCTAAGTTGTTGGGGAAATGCAAGTAGAAAACACAGTGAGATACCACTTTACCTCTATTAGGATGGGTATAATTTAAAAAAACAACAGAACAGCAAGTGTTGATGAGGGCCTGGAGAAATTGGAGTTCTCATATATTGTTGGTGAGAATGTAAAATGGTGTAGCTGTCATAGAAACACTGGTGGTTCCTCAGAAAGTTAAACATTAGAATTACCATATGACCCAGCAATTCCACTCCTAGGTATATATCCCCAGTGGATTGAAAAGAGAGTTTCAGACATTTGTATGCCAGTGTTCATTGCAACACACTATTCATAGTAGTCAAAGGTGGAAACAACTCAAGTGTCGATCAGTGGATGACTGGATGAACAAAATATAGTATATCCCTACAATGGAATACTATTCAGCCATGAAAAAGAATGACGGTCTGATATGCAGCACAACATGGTTGAACCTTAAAAACATTATGCCAAGTGAAATAAGCCAGACACAAAGGATGAGTACTGTGTGATTCTACTTAACCTGAAATATCTAGACTAGGCAAATTTCAGAGACAGAAAGCATTAGAGGTTACCAGGGGCTGAGCAGCAGGGGGTGAGGGGGACTTATTGCTTAATGGATACAGAGGATCTGTTTGGGGTGATGAAAATTTTTGGAAACAGACGGTGGTGATGATTGTGCAACATTGTGATTGTATTTGGTGCCTCTGAGTTGTTCACTAAAAAATGGTTAAAATGTCAAATTTTATGTTATATTTTTTACCATAATAAAAAAAGAAAAAGGGTTAAATACTCTCAGGTCCTTTTTATTAATTGAAAGTAAAGTAAAAGAATATGTTGTCAAATGTTAACGTCATACAGTAATCCTATGAGCAAACAGCATAATTGTAAAATGAGTGGTATACTTAAATGACAAACTCTTTTTGAAAGCATCAGTTATGGTGCTTTCATTGGAATTACTAAACGGAAGTGACTTGAGGTTGTTCATCTTCTTCTCTTGGTGAAGTGAGTAGAAATAAACCTTCCACACTTCTGTCCTCTGTTGTGCGGTGTTGGGCTCTGGCAGCTTACACAACAAAGGCTGCTGAGGAAGCTCACGTGGGAACACGATGTGCAAGAGGTTCGCAGACTGCAAAACACTGCGAATCCCAGCGCCCTGCTCATTTCTAGAAGAGCCATGTTTAATCTACTTACAGCTACTTCATTTCATTAGTTTATGAAGAATTATAATGTAACTTCTTTTTCTCCCTTTTAGTATTTAGTGTCTTTGATCCAGGACAACCTTGGATGGATGTGGGTTTTCTACTTTTTCATTCTCATGGTACGTGTGTGTCCCCTACTTTTTTGAACTAGTAGGTTTTCTTATGGATTCAGTTCAAAGCATTTACTTAAACCACTTCTTAAACCAGCAAAATTGGTGATTCCTCTAAAGACCCTTTTGTAGAAAGTAATATTTTATTAGTCTAAAAGACATTCTTTTTCAAGGAGGGAAAGGGCCGTTCGTTTGCCCTTGACCCAACTCTAATGAGTATTGTCATTGATAAAACCAGAAAAAAAGACGAGACTTATTTAAAGTATCACCAACCATTTATTGGTGTACTCTTCCAGGGTACGCTGTCTGCTGAATATAATTTAGGAATTCTGAAGGAAATGACAGTGTGTGCCAAGCCACATAGGGTTAAAAAAGAATCATTGGCTATGATTAACACTGTGGTGTGCAGGTTCTAAAAAGAACCTGAGTCTCTCAAGAAAATAATCTGTTGTGTCTTAGACATTTTTGGCTGGAATTTTGTACTTTCTGGGAAATAGCCAATACTGAATAAGGCCTTGTGCTTTCTAAATGTTGCTTTCTGTTGTGTAAGCATGTGACCTAGTCTATCCCATTATGGGCGAGACAGTGCTTACGACAGATCTGCTTGAGAAAGTCTAGTGACAGCTTCGTCCACCAGGGGATGCATTCAGTTTGCTGTCCCTGAATCTGGGGCATCCTGTTGGAGGTGGCCTCAGTTGTCCCAAGTCCAGACACTACAGTCTTGTCCACGGAGTCATGGGGTAGGTCAGCACCTGGAGTTCCCTGGTGCGGCCTGAAGGCTTACGTACTTTGCTGTCACAAAAGACGCTTTCTTCTGCCTAGCTGCCCCTGGCTTCCAGAGACTGGGTCGTGAAACTCTTTCCGCTTCTGACATCCATGCTAAGGAGAGGAACTCTCTCCTGATGAACTTGCTGTTATGATCATGCTAGAAGTTGTAATAGAAAGAAACTGGGTCTATTATAAGACGCACTTTAAAAAAATCTGAGCCCCAGTGTTGCTTTTCTGTTCCACCTGTTGCAAATTATTTCATTTGTGTACCTTAGTTCTTTTCTTTTCTTTTTAGAGACTGTAATGTAAGTATTTTGTAATAGTAACTAATTTTCAAGATTATTTTCTAATTGAAGATTAGAGTTATCTTTGTATGAAGTCAGAATGAATGTAATTGTCCAAAGTCATTATTATGTTTAATAACATGCTTCAAAAGAAGTAATTAAATTGTTACTGCACATGTAATGCTTTTCTTCTCTTCACAGACGAGTTGTACAATTCTGTTTATTTCACCATTAATAGTGAGGGAAACGTGCTCTCTTATGCGAAGGCGACAGGCTCGCATCCTGAGTGAGTGACTGGTGCCCACAGAGAACAAGAATAATAGGAGACACATCAGGACTCTTACTTCTTTTCCTTCCTCCTATTTTGGGGTTGTCTTAGGAGCTCCAACACCACCTCACATTGCCCAGCCTCTTTCAGCGGTGTCGGGTGCTGCGATGCTGACCAGAGTGAAGGTGGCTGCTTTGCTACACTACAGGAATTATTGCTGATGAGCTTCACTGTTGTTTCACGAATGTACACACGGCCTGCGAATCTGCCAGGGTCTTTGTTGGGCCTGTTGAAATTTATCCGTTTAACCTTAAAGGCTGCATTGGACTTGGACCCTTGTTTTCCAGCCTGGGAAGCTGAGTGAGTACGAGGCAGCATGCAAGGTCCGGCTCCATGAATAGAAGGGCTTGTTGCGGAGAGTGGCTTATCTTCAGAGCATCAAACCCTGATGAACTGCTCCAGCTGGATCCAGCACAAGCCTGCCTTGGACCAAGGATGCCTTTGTTTACTGTGGTGGGAAAAATCGTCCTGCACGCAGAAGCGGAAACATCTCCGCATTGTCCTCAACTTGTTCTCCGTCTTCATTCAAGACGAACGCTGGCCCCTGGCAGTGTTGAGTCCCCCTTTCAAGGACCACAAGGTACACGTTGTGAGCATTCCAGTGTGTAACTGGTAACGATGTACTCACCCCAGATTTGCTGTCTGGGATCCATGAGGAAGCAAATGTGCTCAGCCCTGTGTTCAGAGGATTGGTCTCTGTCACAACTGGGTGCCTTGAGTTACCTCAACAGAAGACTAGAATTAGAGAAAAGGAAAGGGCGTTTGTCCTAGGAAGCAATAGGTATATGACATTGAATCACATTAATGGGTCACTCGAGCCTGAGGGGTACTTAGGTGTCCTTGACAAGTTCGGAGAGGATACGTCTTCAAGGCTGGGAATCCTATTCTGATTGTCAGTGTTTCAAAGCCATTCTGGATGTATATTCTAAATTATGTAAGCAAACCAGGGGAGAAATGTGCAATTTTGAGAACTGCCTAATTTACAATGGGGTAGGGAATATTTTTTAACCTCCTGCTTTGGACTCTGAAATGTGGTGTGTATGTGGACTTATCAATGTTATTTAATCAAGCAGATTTACAATCCGTTAATTGCTCATTACTGACAAAAAGGGAAAATATGAAACACAGAAAGGGAAAATAAACTGATTTTTATAATAAATATCTGTCCATCTGGTTATTTAAATTTATACTCTGAGCTCCATGTTTCAGAATGTGACTCATGCCTGACAATGTCCTGCCGCTGAGTGTTCCCCAGGGACCTTTCCCGGGCCCCACAGTGTCGCCGGCTGCACAGCTGCTCCCTGCAGGTGCTGTGGCCTGCCTTTCCCGCCGGGAGGTGGGCTGCCTTCCGGTGAGTGGCCTGGCTGTCACTTAGGAGCTGTCTGTGGAGGACCCCTGGTCTGATTACCTACCCTCTTCCTGACCTTTCTCCGAGAGTCCTCTCCCCACACACGGTCAGTATGGTCACACCTTTTTTTTTGCTTTTTCCATTGGAGTAATTTATTCTGGCCCAAGTCCGAAGTGTGGGAAGTCCGTGTGTTTGACTCTCAGTAGAGAAGGCGCACGCCAGCAGACGAGAGTGTTCGGAGAGATCGGGGTGAAGACCACGTGGGAAGTCCGTGTGTTTGACTCTCGGAGTAGAGAAGGCGCCGCCAGCAGACGTGAGTGTTCGGAGAGATCGGGGTGAAGACCACGTGGGAAGTCCGTGTGTTTGACTCTCAGTAGAGAAGGCGCCGCCAGCAGACGTGAGTGTTCGGAGAGATCGGGGTGAAGACAAGTAGCAGTCGAGGCCCTGACCCCCTCGCGCGAGGCTCCTGGCGAAGGGCGTGCTGGTCGTAACAGTTCTGTCGTCTGGGTTTTCTCGACATTTTGAGAGGGCCACAAAAACAATGGGAAGGTGTCCACTGAATTCCCGGCTGGGTTAGAAGATGGAAGAGAAATGTTGAGACTAAAGGAGGAAGAGCCAGGCGGGTGAGGTCAGGTGCGCGGTCCAGAGGCGCGGCCGACGCAGCACATGGTCTCGTTCTGCCGTCACCTGGTGCGGCTCCGTCCGAGGAGCTGTCCTCGACACCAGGACCGGGCGTGTGGAATCCTGCTCTGTTCTGCACAACCACACAGATCTCAGTGTTTACTTTTAAATATGTTTCTACTTTTTAGAGAGAGAGAGAGGAAGGGAGAGAGAAGGAAACATTGATGTGAGCAATACATTGATCGACCACCGCCTGCACGCCCCCTACTGGTCATCGAGCCTGCAACCGGACATGTGCTCTGAACGGGAATCGAACCGGGTCCTCAGTCCATGGGACGATGCTCAATCCACTGAGCCACACTGGCTGGGCCACAATATATTTTTTATTTTATTTTATTTTATTTTTTTTTTAAATCCTCACCCGAGGACATTTTTGCATTTATCTTCAGATAGAAATGGAGGGAGAGAGAGAAGAAGAGAGAGAGGAACATCCATGTGAGAGAGACACATTGACTGGGTGCCACCCACACAACCCCAACCGGGCCGGGGACAAACTGCAACTGAGGTACGTGCCCTTAGTGGGAACCGAACCCGGGTCTGACGCTCTAACCACTGAGCAAACTGGCCAGGGCCCACAATATATTTAAACGGTTTTCCCAGCGTGGTGAGTTGGCTTCCAGTTTGTTCTACATTTGTGGTGCACTGACTCACTGCTGTGCTGATAGGCGTTGCAGTCGATGGCACTTGCTGTAGCCTCTTACAGCGTTGCTCACTTCATCAGCAACATAAAGTCTCTTCTGCAGCCTGGTAGCCTTCCATCTTTCCCAGCACCAACTGTTGTCTTCTTACCCAGTTTAAACCTCGATGTACCTGAATGAAATTATAAATAAAATAACTGTTCAGCACTAAATGACGTGTTGCACTATGGATATATTTCCTCGTTCTAGTTCTGACCACGTACGTAGGAATTGGTGTTAACTCCCCAGGTAGTCGCAGCCGCCCTCGGGCATCCTGTGCTGCGGGCAGACTAGGTCTCGTGTCAGAGGTGGAGGCTGGGACAGCGCGTCCTTCCGAGAGGGATCCTTCCGTGAGCCACTGCCATGCCGGACAGTTGGGACAAGGATGTGTACCCCATGCCCCCACTGCAGGCAGGTGCCCTTGCCGTAGACCTCGCTGCCCAGCCCCATCACCTACATGCCGAAGGCCTTTGACCAGCCTGTGACCCTCATGAGACAGTTTATAGAGTGGCAGCGTGCAAAGAACGGGTATTACCATCGCCACCGCGCGTTCCACCGGGTCCTGACGTCACCAAGTCAAGGAAAAGGATGTCTGGCGCCTGCGGGAAGCAGAAATGCAGGGAGAAGACACTGCAGAGTGATCAAGAGACTGTCAGCATTATCCAGGAAGGGCGGAAGGCCTGTCGGCAGAGGCGAGGTGAGAGCTACAGGCAGAGCTGTGCCCAGGGGGCCAAGCCCTGCCGGGACCGTGATCGCCGTGTCGGGGCCCCTCATTGTGCCAGGAAGTGCCCAGCAAAGCAAGCAGGGGGTGGTTGCAGAGAGGAGCTGCTAGAGAGGCTGCTGCTGCTCCTCGAGTCCCCTCTCACGTGACTGTCACTATTGCTAAGGAAAGAGGAGTGAAACCTAAAAAAAAAAGAACTCCCAAAGAACTCCCAAGAGTTACCTTCACTTGCTCACTGGTCTCTTCCATAGTGAGGCTAATTTGGAAATGGAAATACACTCTGACAGCTCAGCCTGTGATGCTCACTAGGTTGAAATGCAGTACTCCTGCCTGCCTTTTCTTGTTACACGTTTTCTTTTCTCCTTTCGTATAGTTTCAAAGGAAGAAAGCCTTTTCCCCTTCCTGCTTATTCTGCTCCTTCCTGCGTCCTGGAGGACCAGAGCCCCACAGTCAACACTCACGCAAGAAATGTCTGAGGCCCTCCGTGTGCACCGTGGTGTTCAGGGGGGTGGATACGAGGCGCTGGCGTCCACTCCTTCCATCTCCTTCAGAGCCTCCAGCCGTGCTCCCTGCCTCCCATGTAAGTCACTGATAAAGCCTTATCTCGGCTACTTTTTCTGACTGACTTCCTGTTTATCTTTTCATGGCCAAATCCTCTGAGTTGGTATCTGCTGCCTTCCTGGCTGTACTACTGACTTCCTCCTCAACTAGGTAACTCACTGCATCTGTTTGCCCAGGACGTGGGCTCGTGCCTGACATGCTGACATGATTATCAACAGCACTTCCCTTGGCTCTTCGTGTCCCGATTTGGACACCTTATCCTTAACTTCCGAGGTCTGTCTTCATCACCCTACAGAAACTGCATCCGAAGGAGATCTGTTTTTGACATTTCCTTATTGAAAGGGAGAGACAGAGATGGAAACATCGATGAGAGAGAACATCGATCAGCCACCTCCTGCACACCCCCCACTGGGGATCAGGCCCACAGCCTGGGCATGTGCCCTGAACCGGCGACCTCTTGGGGCATGGGTCCATGCTCAACCACCGAGCCACATTGGCTGGGCTGCCCCTGCTGTTTTTAAAAATTAAAAAAATTCCTGAGATAAAATACACACAAAATTGACAAACTTAACCATTTTAAGTGTACGGTTAAGTATATTCACATTGTGGTGTATACCTTCTTTTTTTTTTTATCCTCACCCGAGGACATTTTTCCATTTTTTGTTCAGATAGAGCGGGAGGGAGAGAGAGGAAGAGAGAGAAAGAGAAACATCGACGTGAAAGGGACACATCGAGTGGCTGCCACACGTACGACCCAACCAGGGCTGGGGACAAACTGCAACCGAGGTACGTGCCCTTAGCGGGAACCGAACCCGGGTCTCTCTGTACCGCAGGCCGACACTCCAACCGCTGAGCCAAACCGGCCAGGGCTGTATACCTTCTTGTCACGATTTACACTTCTTGTCTGTAATGCCCCCTTTTAATGCTCAGCTTTCTGAATCTTAATTTTCCTTCAAGGCTTGGCCAAGCACCATCTAATCCAAGAAACCTCCCCCAGCCAGCCTGTGAGTCCACGGCCTCCCTTCCTCGGGCAGCAGTGTCAATATTACTTGTTTGGTACTTAGCTATTTCGGTCTTACCTATTTTTATGTCTAACTCCCAGGGAGAAGGTTGCTCTTTTTCTCCAGCTCCTAGTTCCTCGCACGGTTGGTCCTAAGTCACTGTTGGTGACGCTAGAAAAGGTGGAAAGGAAATGAGAGAGTGGAGGGTGGGCAAAGCGGCTGTGCCTCCCTGACCCTGCCAACGACCCTTTGCCTTGCAGAGCGTAGGGCACGGCCCTCCTGCAGCGAATGGCCTGGTTGCCCCCTGCCCGCCACTCACGCTGCTGTCTTTATTCCCACCGCAGTCCCGGAGCTGATAGGACCGCACAGTCGGCCCCGCTGGCTGAGTTTACTGCCTTATTTTGTTCTTGGGTTGTTTCCTCAATTAAGTTGTGAGTGTCCAAAAGTCAGTTCCATGTCCAAGGACGCTGCAGCCATGTCATCGAGAGCAGGTTTACCTCTCCTCGTGGCCTCTGGACTTTTAAATTCTGGGTCATCTTCCTTTTGCTTTTCTTGAAATGCCCTGAGCATTTCTGGCGACCAAGTTAGTTTCAGCATATATCCAGAATAAATCAGATTAAAGATGATCCTGGCCGGTGTGGCTCAGTGGTTGAGCATTGACCCATGCACCAGGAGGTCGCCAGTTCGATTCCTGGTCAGGGCACATGCCCAGGTTGTGGGCCTGATTCCCAGTGCAGGGCATGCAGGAGGCGGCCGATTGATGTTCTCTCTCATCGCTGTTTCTATTTCTCTCTTCCTCTCCCTTCCTCTCTCTCTGAAATCAATGAAGAAAAAAAATTAAATCAGATTAAAGGTGAAATACAGATGTTTATATATGTGATGATACAAGTCACTTAAATGATTATATCTGTGTACGTATTATATGTAACTCAAATGTGACTACATGTTGTATGGAGCTATGTTATGTAATTTATGTGTGCAAGTATAAATAGGTATGCTAGTACACACACATCTCAAGTCTAATACTTGAGAAGGAATTCTGTACCTGAGCTCCCAGCGGTTTGGTCTTCCCGTCAGCACTGGTATAATACTTCATATGCGTACACTTC